GAGTCTGTACCAGAAGTGCTCACGAGCTGGAGGTCTTACAACCAATTTGTAGAGCAACCCAAGACTCTCCCTCCTTTCCTACATGGGAAGTTATTTGTGTGCAGGGAAGCAGAAATTGGTGTACTATATGGAGGAGATGGGTCTACAGGCCCCCCCCCCAGCCAGTGCACACAGCCTACATGCAACCAGCAGCAGGTTGGATAGCAAAGCCAAAGCAGCATTAGATACGGTCATATCAGAATTATTATTATTAAAATGCATGTATCTGCATGGTACGCTGACACAGTACTTGACAGCCGTACAATGTGACTTGTCCCCTGCTCCTGAGGATCTGAGGGGGACAAGGCCTGGCCTAAAATCAGGGAAAGGAGTTTGTGGAGAGAGTGTTGCTGAGGAAACCAAGGCAGGAAAGATCCCTGGAAGAAAGGGAGTGTCAAAAAGAGAAGATAGTGGACACTAAGCAAACAAGTAGACAAGAGACTTCCAAGTCCAGAACACATGAAGGTGCAAAGCCTGAGTGCAAGAAAGAGACAAAGGGGAGAGATGAGGAGAGAGTATTGGGAGGCACATAGGAGAAAGTTGGGCAGTAGGAGAAAATGAGATCAGAGATATTGGAGCTTGGAGCTGATGAACTATGAGACAGGAAGCCAGGAACAGGAGCGGAAGAGGACAGACGGTGATGTGGTCAGAACAGCAGAAGAGTAAGATGATTAGTGCTGGCATTCTGGATATGCTGAAGGGGGAGAGGTGAGCAGCTGCCTGGGAAGGCGGTGACAACTGTCCGGGGGGAAGTTGGCCAAGGCAGGTACAAGTTCCATTAGTGGAGCTGGAGAGGAGACCCTGGATCTGGTGAAGTTAAAGTGCAAAACTGGATTTAACAAAAGGCTGGCTATGGAGGTGTGGGGAGGAAGGAGAGAGAAACATAGGAATTGACATATTGGATCAGATCTAAGGCCCATCTAGTGCAGAATCCCATCTCTAACAGTGCTAGCCACCAGATGCTTCAAAGGAAGGAATAGGGACCACGCAGCAGGCAGATGTGGGATAATCTGCCCCCCACATTAGGTCTTATCAGAATCTCCAATAATTAGAGGTTGGTTTAAGGCCTGTGGTAGAATCCCTTCTAGAATTGCTGTTATCATTCATAAAGTGACATGGAGAAGGGATGGACTTGTGATTAAGGAACTGGATGGGAACAAAAGAGCTCTGACTTTAATTCCTGTCTCTACCCCCAGCCTTCCTATGTGGTCTTGGGCAAGTCACTTAGCATCTCTGTGCCTCCGAGATGCTGTTCTTCTGCCTTCCAGAGGGGTTGTGAGGATACAGGCTTTAATGTTTGTGGAGCACTGAAATATCATAGTAATGGTCATGTGAGTATTGAGAGAGACAGTGGTGAGGCCAGGATACAAGGAGGATGGGCAACTCCTTACTGGTGACAGAGAAGGGAAGGGGAGGAAATGTCCATCTACTCTTAGAGAGCTTGACTTTGATGTGCTGCCAGGGGCCATGGCCAAGTGGGCATTGGAGATGTGAGCCCAGACAGAAGAGGAGAGGCCAGGACAGAAAGCTGTAGGAAGCTTAATCAGACTATAAACAATTTGGGGCAGAGAATGTCTTTTCGTTATATGTGAATATAGTACCCATCCCAGTGGGGCCCTAACTGTTGGTTGGAGCCTCTCGGCTTTACCGCAATATAAATGATAATGAATAACAATGAATCGTTTGAATAGAGGTGCTAGCTGATGCCACAGGAGCATATGGGAAAAGAGGAGGGGACCAAGGACAGAACCCTGAAGGAGTCCAACAGACAGAGGGAGAGGGGAGGATGAGGTGCCAACAAAGGGGAGGCCAAAGCAGCCATCAAAGAAGTCAGAAGAGAACTTGGGGAGAAAGCGGAAGGCAAAAGAAAGCTCAGATATTTCGAAGGCGGTAGCAAGCTCAAGCAAAGTATGGCTAGAGAAGACTCCCTGTGAATTTGCTCGGAGAAGGTCGGTCATATTATGCCACCCCTCAAGACATTTTTGGTGGAGCAGAGAGGGCACAAGCCAGAGTGGAGAGGGCAAGATCATGGGCACACTGGCGGAGTTTTCAGGAGAAGGTGGACATTAGAGAAGCAGCTGGGACTGTAGAATCAATAGTACTCTGGGGGAAGGAGACAGAGGGGAGAGTGTGATAAGGGAAGGAATCAGAGACGTAACCAGGGTGAAGAGGACTAGATGGGGACAGGAGGACAGGCTGTGATCAAAGGCACACTGAGGGTTAGACATCAGAGTCAGAAACAAGGGTGAAGGAGGAGAGTGTGGGACGGGTGGTGGAAGGGTTGGGGAAGGTGGCAGAAGAGCGTCCTTGATGGATATTCTCACTCGGAACACATGCGCAAGCTGGTAAGATCCGGGGCTGAGGATGAAGTGGAGGAGGGAAGGTGCTGGGAAGAGGGATCCAGGAGGGCGTTCCTGGTACAGGGGAGTGTGAGGAGAGGGGCTGGGAGCACAGAAATTGGCAAGGGAGAAGAAGCAGATCTTGTGAGCTGGGAGGAGGGCAGAGGTGGAAGAAGAACAGTAATCTGTGCAGTCATGGGACTCTCTGTGAAAGTGCTCAGCGGTGCAAGAACTGGAGCGGAAGAAGCAAAGGCAGGGAAGAGCCAAGGGTGGGGAAGAGAGGAAAGGGCAGCTCTGGGTGAGGGGGAAGATGGGAGCTGAATGAAGGAGAGAAGTTTGAAGCTGAGACGGGGTGGGGGGGGGAAGGGCAGGAAGAAAAGGAGGAAAGAAAAAATGGGGAAAGGGAGGTGAGGGAGAGGAGACTAGTGGGAAGCATCTGAATGGGGATAGGGAGGTGAAGGGGAAGGAGACAGAGGCCTGGAGAGAAATAGAGAAGAATGGTGAGGGGAGGCCAGTAGGAGGGAGGTGGAGGAGCAAAAGTGTCCCTGGAGGAGTTTGTCTCATGCAATGAATACTTGTCCTCTCTCCCCCTCGGCCTCTCAGGAGTGTAGCTCTGCCTGGGACCTTCCTTGAATGATTTTCATTCTGGTGAGCGGGGCTGACCCCGTGGGATACTGCCCAACTCCCTTCATAATGGGGAGATCCCTGCTGGCAGCTTTCCCAACAGATTAGGATTGTCTCCGTGGCGGGCTCTGGTGCTCACTACATGGTGTTTTGGGGCTTGATTCCCACACCTACTCCCTTCTGCCCAAGATAATGAAACCTGTATTCTTAACCTGCACAATCCTCCTTCCCCAGACCTCAGGTGTGCAGCGACTAGGGCTTGTCTGCCTTAAGCCCCACACCCTGATTCTGCATAGGGCCCTGCACTGAAAAGGAGGAGCTTTCTTGTGCTTACTGTGCTCTGCAGGGAGAGCAACAGGCCCCATGAGAGGGTGGCTCACTTCCCAGCTCTGGGTGCACTATTCTCCATCTGGCTGCTGCTGTTCTCAGTTGTTGCTGCTGGGTGTGGGCGACAGTCCGGTTGTGGCACTAGACGCTCTCCAGGTCTAGAGGCACCACGGGGGGTGGGGGAGTAAGGTACAGATACTTACCATACATGTGCCACGTGTTTGACTGACCGCCGCGGTAGATTCTCGCATGCACCCTTACGTCAGCGAAAGACTCCTTCCCAGAAGCCCGGGGGAAGCGTTATAAAAGCAGGGAGTGCGTTCGCAAAGGACCCTCCCCTCCGGGGCAACAGAGTGGAAGAGTCCACCTATTAGAATGCATGGGACGTTACTCCAAGGTCTGGAATGAGCTTCAGGCCTCCGTGAGCTGGAATCACACAGCAATTTGCTGGGACTGAGGAGGCCGTTACCGCCTTGTGTCCAGTGAGTCGTGTCAAGCTCCCAGGACAGCGTCGGGTAAGTGCTGTAAGTGTAAGTGCTGCAAGAGTTACAGAGCAAATCACTGAAAAATGACTTAAATCAATCCTGGTATATTTTTGGAAAACTCTTGGTCGATAAAGGCATTAGATTCTTTCTAGGTAGGACTGTGGTGCAGGCTCAGGGGTTTATGTGGCTTGCCAGCGACATCTGGTGTTCAGACAGGAGCACCGTAACTGTGTTCACATTTCTGAGAGCAAATTTAGGGTCTGCCGGAAGCAGCAGGCATTGGAGGCTGAAATCCTCCATCCACGGAACAGGTGCAACAAGGACAGCGTTCCCATGCTGCCCCGCTCTGACCACCTCTGGGAGTGAAGAGGTAAATCTCCAGGCCCATTCTGTCCCTATCCTGTTTGCCGAGACTGCTGGCCAGGGTCTAATCAGTGTCAGTTGTGGTGGTGGTTTTGTGGTGTGGACACGCATCTGCTACAAACTGGACTGAGAGCACCAGCGTATCATAAACTACTGACCAGCTGCTGGGCGATAACACCATTCGGTCACTATCAGCGTGGACTGTTGTCAAACTCAGGAGTGTACAAGGTCATTACCAATCTTCAGAGCCATCCTGTCCTCCCCCTACACGGACACGTTTAAAGTCACGGCCTCTGAAATAGGGTGCACATCAGACCACGACATTACAGCTGAAAACTGCCAGTTGTAGCCTTGGTAGGTGTAAACTGCATAGGACCTGCCAAAGGAGAGCGGTAACCCAGCCATATTAATGTGCTGTAGGATTGTGCATGGCTTTTAACTGCAGTGGGAGCCAATGCCAGATTTCACACGCCCAGCCTCTGAATGCAGTAGAAAGCACATTCACAATGGAGCAAGTGTCAGCATTCCCACTCTAAAGGCAGTGGGACCCAAACCCCAGCACATCATTGTTGGGATTCACACTCCCGCCTTCGGAATACAATAGGAGGCATGCACTAGTGCTAGAATTCACCCTATAGTGCACCCAGGATCCATACCTGAATGCACGATAGTGCCAGGAATTACACTCAAGCTCTGAATGCAGTAGAAACAGGTAAAAAGCATCCACATGCACTAACCCCTGTTTATATCACTTTAAGCTGGTTAGTTTGCTTGTCTTTTTTTATATATATATATATATATCTCCAAATTCTTTTTGTCTCAGGTCCGGGATAAGAAACTCCTCAATGACCTGAATGGAGCTGTCGAAGATGCCAAGACAGCCCGGCTTTTTAACATCACCAGCTCGGCACTCGCCACTTTCTGCATCATCCTCGTCTTCATCTTCCTGCGCTACCCGCTCACTGACTATTAGAGCGAGGCCAGCAGCCGCTGCCGAAATGCCTCAGTGCCAGAAGTGTCCACCGAATTTCCTCCAGCAAGGATATGAAACAACAATCCATCTTGATTGCAAAAAAATAAATACAAAATAAACCCCACCAAGCAACCCCCACCCCCCCAATCCTGACTGGTATTTGAACTTCTGTAGAAAAAGAAATTACTTTTACATTTTTTACAGAAAAATATTTATTTTCATGATAAACAAAAGTATGTGATAACATGCAAAGCTTAGAACTAACCACAACATGAGCCAATAGCTGTGTAGCTAGACACGGCAATCACGGTGGCGGCCGAGGAGTCAGAGAGAACGTTGTGTCATCGATGAGCCGCTGATGAAAGTTACATAAGCAGCCCAAGCACTGAGCTGTGTTTTAGATGGAAAACAGCAAATAGCCCTATTGGGAGAGGTGAACTGTGGATCTACCGGGAAGCATGTGTGCTGATTTAGAGCTCAAGAGAGGGAGGAAAAATGCCTGCTTCTGCGAGATAAAACTGAGGAGTAATGCAGGGCAGATTCAGGACATATCAAATGTGTTCAGGCTGCTACCACGTCCTCTCTCTCTCTCTCTCTTCTCCCCTTCCCCTCACTCCCATGGATATTTTGTTCTTTTCTTCTTTTTATACATTTTTTTTCATAGAATTTCATTTGAAGGCCAGAATAGCTTACCATTCCCCGTCCCCAGAGAGCTTTATCCTTGGGAGTTCATAGTGGAGAATCCTGAAGCCTCCCGATAAACCCCAAAGATTTAAAACAAAACAAAACAAAACTCCTCCATGGAATCTCCTGCAAATGCTGAGAACATAGGCAACCTTTGGAGAACTTGCATATATCCTGTATACCGACTCCTACTGTATTTCTGTAAACTTTCAATAAAGATGATAATACCTCTGCCCATCCGATGCCATTCTGGTTACTTTCACAGATTGCCACAGATTAGGGGGTTTTCCCCCTTCGCTCCCATATTAATCCAATGAGGGGCAGAGAAGAGAATTAAGACTCCTGTTGGACACTATAACTTGCCTCTACAGCCATAATCCCCTACCTTTGATGGCTACGTGGATGGGCCTGGAGTAATGGGCAGCCTCACTTAAAGTGAAAGAAAGTTAAATAACAGGCAGGGAGCAGCTCACAGGCAGTGCAATAGGGGACTGATACACAAGCAGCAACCACAGTGGCAGGCATGGGAAGGGATGGTGCCGGTTAGAACCCAGTGGAGGTAAGAATTCCCACCTTGTGTATCAGCAAAATGTCGGGACTGGAGTTGGGAGAGGGGAGGAAAGAGGTGCCAGGAGCTAGGGGAAATCTGGGGGCTTCTAAATCCCCTGACCAGGCACATGTGAAGTTCATCCCCATCCTAGTGAGGACATGCCTCTCTAGAGTACATGGACTGGAAAATGTCTTAATTCCAGTGATGGTGATACGCTGCTGAGAGTTTAACAAAGGAGCTCCCTTAAGAACATTTCACCTTGCTCAGCTGGAAACGTTACATTCCCTGGGTCAAATGTGCTTTCCACTGAAAATCATCTACCTCTCCGAACCCATCAATCCTTCCACCGCCCACCCCTTTTGACCCGTGCCCTTCCAGCACGTCATAGAAACACGAGCACCACCAAGTGGCATCTCGGACTAGCAGCTGTTCCACACAGCAGCAGCCGAGGTAGGCAGGTGTCTTGCCACCTCTGCCTGGAGTGCAGATGGCGGGTGAATTATCCTGTGGGCATGCAATGATTGGCTGGATGCACAGTGGGTTCCCTGCGTGGGAATGGATCCTCTTTGTTGAGAACTATTCGAGCCCTGAATTGAGACCTATAGTTGCGGGAGGGGGAGGAGATTATCCCACATCTGCCTACTGCAGGGCTCTTACACCTTCCTCTGAAGTATCTGGTGCTGACCGCTGTCTGAGACAGGCTACTGGACTAGATGGACTTTGGGTCTGATCCAATATAGAAATTCCTGTGTTCCAATGTCTCCCCTGTTTGTTTCCAGTCTCCGCTAGCCAGTGTGGAATTGGAGGGAGTTTCCCCATGATGGGGTTCCCAGCTCCAGGCTGCCCCCCCAGTACCAACTCTTCAAACTTCAGACAGGGACATGTGTGCTGGGGAGATGCAGCCTGCAAGGCTCCCACTCAATGCTGCCACTCCTCAGTCCTGTCTCCTCTGCCTCGTGCAGTAGCTGGTGGAGGGGACCCATGTGATAAACCCCCATGGACTGGTGGGAGGATGCAGGAGGGGTGTTCCTTTACCAGCAGGTGCCCCGGCAATCGTGGCTATGCCCATGGCACTGCCCCAGCCTTGGAGAGAGCTGATCATTTTAACAAGCAGAGCCAGTCTTAACATTCTAACTACTGTACATTCCAGCAGTGCAAAAATCCCTAATGGAGACAAGATGCTGATTCAAGCTGGGAACTAAAGGACCCATGGGCATCTGGGTCAGACTCATCATCGCCAGGAGCAGGAAATCAAGGTACAACACGAATTCACGCCTGCACGCTAGGTGCCCAAGCCACTAATGGGATGGGTCTTTCTTTTCTAATTGTTCAATCATATCAGCACAATGCCGCTGCTGTGCTATTAAGACTGAAATGGCCAAACCAATAGACCACGAAAGGGTACCTCGCTGAAAACTTAATTAGACCACCTTCATTAGCCTTCCTGAGCAAGAGTGCTCTGTTATGCTCATAACAATGCCGTGTACAATTGCTATAAAATGCATTCTGGTAGAATCCAGTAAGATTACCCGTAGCCTTTGCATGAACGATCACACCAGAGCCCCTTCCATGCAGCTTCTTCTCAGACAATTCCGGGTTCTGGTCTAAAGTGACTGTATCACTCTTTTAAAGGCACCAGATTGACCAAACTGGAGAATAAAGTCTAGTTACAGCTCAGCTTTTCCAGCTTCTCTCTAATGTCCTGCCAGTATGCCCCAGCTCTAGCCTGGGCAGCATTTGAATGGATAACCTAGAGATGGAAGTCCATTAGTAACCTGAGCCATCTACCTTCCTGCTTGACAAGAAGAAATTGGTGATACTGACTTAGCCCACAGGTCCATCAACACTGTTATCCTGTCTCTGAGAGAACTTGGTGAACTTTTTCAACCCAAAACCCTTTTTCACCAAAAAAAATGCAGATTGAGGTGAACTGAAACATTTCACTGATTCCTGTCAAATCTGCCAAATTGTTTCACACACACACACACACACCCTGAAAATGACAGCGCATTTCATTTCAACATTTTCCAAACAAACCGTTTGATTTTTTTTCTATTTGAAATGTCTTTTTATGTCAATATTTACTTCAGGTGGTTTTTTTAATTTATTTTAAACCCTTTAAAAAAAGCTCAGAAACAAAACAAGACATTTCACTTTGGGTCGAACAAAGTGTTGCCTTGGACCCAATATGATTCTTTTTTCCTTTTTTTTCCTTTTTGGCTTGCCAAAATATTGTCTTGTCTCCAGTCAACCCCAAATGCTTTTTAAAAACAACATTCAAAACAGCCAGAAAAACTGAAAAATGTGTTAGGCTTGGGTTACACTCAAACAGGGGTTCTCCAACTTCATTGCACTGCCATCCCCTTCTGACAACAAAAATTACTACATGACCCCAGGAGGGGGGACCAAAGCCTGAGCTCAGCTGCCCCAGGTGGCAGGGCCATAGCCTGAGCCCCACCATCCCAGGCAGGGGGTGGGGGCAAAGCTGAAGGCCAAGGGCTTCAGCCCCAAGCAGGGGGCCTGTAACCTGAGCCCCTGAAGCCCCTTGGGCTTTGGCTTCAGTCCCAGGCGGTGGGGCTCAGGCTTTGGCCCCATCCCCAACAAGTCTGAGCCAGCCCTGGCGACCCCAGGGATCCGACCCACAGTTTGAGAACCACTGCACTAGAAAATTAAGTCGGCTTAACTACATCTCTCAGGGGTGTGAAAAATTCATTCTCCTGAGTGGTGTAGTTAAGCCCACCTAACCCTGGGTGTACACAGTGCTAGCCACCTCCTCTCAGGGAGTACTCCTCCCATCAGCACAGGTAGCATCTACACTGAAGTACGACACCAATACAGCTGTGCCACTGTTAACATTTCACGTGTAAAGTCCTTATTCACACAGCTCTGGTCTCTGACAGCCTAAGGCAGCATGAGATGCCTCAGAGGAAGGTGTAAGAATCCCTGTAGTGAACAGTTATGGAACAATCTGCCCAGAGCTCATGTTGCTTCCCTGACCTCTGCCATTTCCTAGTTGGCTCATTCCCTGAAGCAAAGCCTGGGGGTTTATAGCCTTCATCCTTTTTATCCTGTCTAATGTAGTCACATGTTTCTGGTGTCCTTGGAGTAGGGAGCATTCTGAGGGCATGACAAGGATCAGCTGGGAGTGTGGTGAGAGTGACTTGCACTCTAACTATCCTAGGCTGCAATCGAGTGGGCTGTTACCAGCCAGTGTAAATTAAAGCAGCCCTGAAGCTGTTCCAGCTTAAGCCAGGGAATGAACTGGCCCCCCCCTCATCTTTGCCTAGGATCAGGGGAGCTGAGAGGTGGAGGAACATCACCTTTACTCTCCTCCTGGAGCCCTGCACCAAGCTCAGCTCAGCTGGACTCAAGGTTCTAACCCAATATTCTTTATCCAGCCAGGGCAGAACTATACCCCCCCAAGTCATACCCCTCTGCCTGCCAAGGCCCAAACATAGAACGCAGTGTGTGACAAAGATCCAAAATGAGGCGCATAAATAAATCATTCATGCAGGACACTGACGGCTGCGTCCTGCATGAATCCCTTCCTTTAATATGAATGACTATAACCTCGGAGTTCTGCATTTCTGATGTAATCCATTTACCACAACAAAAGTGAGGAGACACCAGGTTGGTCTGGAACGTAGGTAACTGTGGGATGGAATGGAAGGAAGACAGTTGAGAGGAACACTACTAGCAGATATGGGCTGTTATGCTTTGGGATTTGTAGAGCCACAGATTGCACTGCAGGATGCTTTCCGTTCAGAAATCTTATTGCATTACAGTCTATGAACTCTTGCAGGAATACCGCTACCTCCGCAGCTGTCTTCATCTTTAGGTTTGGGCTTTAAGTACCGGGTGACAGGCATACTTTGTATAGGGAATGAATGAAACAGTTCAGATAAAATACAAGCTGACACAGCATTGGAACTAACCCAAACCAAGCTTTTCCTTCCATTTAACAAGTGCAACGAATGAGTTATGATCGTCTCTTTCTGCGACGGATCGTCTTGTCTGAAAGACGAAGGATGGTGTTTTAATGAACTACAGGGAATAGTGAACTGGCTTCTCATCTTTTCTCTATGCATAAACTGTTGGGGCCTGAGAGGGTGGATTAGTAGTAGTGGTAATGGTAGTCATCAGATTTGTTATTTGTTTGCAGTAACATCTACACTGCGTTTGGTGTTTTCCGTACGAAGGATTTGCCAGCCTGGATCAGACCTGAGGTCCAGGCTCCAGCCATGCCAGTATCCTTTCTCAGACAGATGTTTCAGGAGAAGGTGTAAGAATCACAAAGGAGGCAGAGCTAGAATAACCTTCCCCACAGTTTAGGTCTTACCCTAGAGATCAGGTGAGCTAATCACAATGGTCCCTTCTGGCCTTGAAATCTGTGACTGCTGAGCTCTACTAGTTCTGGATTAACTTTAGCCCAGAAAAATTAGGTTTAATTAATATCCCTTCTAACATTTTTGTTAGCATTAATTACAACTCTGGTGTAACAGGGTGGTCAGCCCTTTAATGGCCAGGCAAAGGGGGTAAGGGGGCCTGGGGCCAGCCAACCCTGGTCAATTATCAGACCCAGCTGGGCAGGGATGGAATGATTACAAAAGCCAGCACACCTTAGCAAGTGGCTCAGTTGGAGAGGAGCTACAGAAAACAGGTGGGTTGTGCTGAAGTTAGTGCCC